TTTTTATTATTAACCATTATCTCTCTTATAATATTATATCTCTGATTGTAAACGATTTTCAATCTTGATGATGACTCACATGCTTTGGTTGAAACTTCGGCACCAATAAAAACCTTAAAAATGACTGTATTCTGACTATTTATCACCCATATTATTCTTAACTTTATTTTTAGTCCTCATTAATTTATTTACTTTTAATATTGAATTAAATTGTTGATTATAATTACCTATTATATTTTTATAATTTTAATTTTATTTTTTCCAGGTAAGTGCGCATTCATGATTTTTCCTCCAACTATCTTAGTGAGTATATACCATTGTAATTTAAGAGAAAATATACATGCTTTATTAAGATGATGGTAGGGGTCTGTTATAATGTATAGTAGTTATGTATCTTATTTGCCCCCACATTTTAGACCTTCATCGTGGCCAATAATAAATTTTTAAGAAATAGATGTTTCTGTAATGCATTGTATTGGCAAGTAACATATTCTTTGTATAATCAATAGTGTTTGAACGACATGAAATTATCCATTTCGTAGCAAATTAAAAATTGTACTTATCGCTGGTGGATCTGCAGCAATGTTTTCAGGCTGAAGTTCCTAAATATTTAATTAATTTTTTCTTTTTTTTTTTTTTGGTAATGCCTCTACCCTGAAGTGTCATCGGCATTTCTTATATTTCTACACTCGTTGGTAAAAATTGATTTCTTTTAAGAATTCTATAAGAGATTGGACATCAGTTTCCGTGTGTTCTAGTATACTTCAGTTTTTTTCTTATTGGTGCATACTGCTGGCACTCAACCAGTATATGGGGGACTATTCTAGGAGCAATACAAGTGACACAGATAGGGGTTTCCAGACCACGAAGAAGATATCGATGAGGCTGACCGGCCACCGAAAGTGCGGCGGAGCTGAGCGCAGTTAATAAGCATAGCAAGGTTCAGCTTTGGATCGACTGGAGTTCAGTTTTGGAAGCTGACTCCGCTAGGCTCAGCTTCTCCCACCACACCTACTCATCACTGTCACATAACTGTGCGGCTTTGTTCCTCAGTGTCATCCTCGTTTTCACTGCACAACCTCTCAAATTATTTTATTTGAGAGGTTGTGCAGTAAAGTTCAGTGTAAAATATACAATGGATATTAAAAAATTCTTAATCGAATGTGTAAGGAAAAATATTATATTTTATACACAAATATTCGAATTTTCAGCTCAAGCTTTATGGGCCCGTTACACGGTCAATATCGAGTTTCGACGTTATATTGACCGTGTAAGGACTACATTGGCATTAATTATAATGACTTCAATCAAACTGGTTGATGTCAACTTTTTTTTTTTCAATATTATTGAAACATTGTCAATATAATTGCACGTGTAAGGCCCTATATTAAGCAATATTAAACCATACATCCTGAGAAGCTCTGGGTGATACCAAATTTTCGGTGCCCCTCTTGGCAATATGTTACGAATAGGTGGGTGATACTTTGTTTTACTTTTTTTGGGAGGGGGAAGGGGTATTAATCCTCCCTCTGAACCTCCTGGGTTATACTTTTTCTACTTTAATTTATTTTTTTGTGTGTGGGGGAGCGAATTACCCCATTCCTCCTCCCCTCCTCAATTGTTTTTTAAAGAATGATATTTGGCAATATGTTTTGTTAGGTGGGGAATACTTTTTTACTTTGATTTTTTTTGGCGGAAGAAGGGAATCTCTCCTCCCCGAAATTTGTTTTTAAAATCATATAATGGCAATATGTTTGTGTTGGTGGATTTTACCCTTTTACATAAATTGTAAAACAGTTTAAAAAGTCCATTAATAAACATATGGTAAAAAACACGTAAGGTTCGAGCTGCGACTTGAGCCTTTTACTGGCGAACTCTTAGGACTCGAGCCTTGGCCGAGTCGGGAAAGCTAGAGTCTTTTCGGCTCAAACCTTCTCACCTTAGCACCGAACTACAACACTAAGTGCAGTAGCCAATTAGCAATTACTAACTATTAATAATGCCTAATAGAGTCCTTACATCATTAGGAGCTACATCTCTTCGGTGGAGTTTTGGTCTTGTATGTTTTATGGTATCATTTAGTAGCTCTTCTATTGTCTTCCTTTGTACATCGGTAGAACTTAGATGCCCAGCCCACCTTAATTTTCGTAAGTAGATGAAATTTAGCCAATGTAGTCTCCTCCAATCGCAGAACTTTCATTCAGGTATTAACAGTCCTATGTCCATCCAATTTGGAAATATCCATGTCTCAGTTCTTTATAGCCAAACTCTTAAAGATGATTCTAGACAAAATTTCCAACAAAAAAGTTCATTTGATTAATGGGCCGATTCCGAATGTAGAAGGAGTTAGGACCAATTATATGCCTTCCTTAAGATGGCCACGTTTTATATTTAATAAGAAAAAAAAATTCTCAAAAACTATTCAAGATAATTAAATTCTAAGTACACCATCGGAAAGTAGACAAAATTTTCTTTGAGAAAACAATGATTACTAAGGTCAATGATAAAAGAGACTTTCAGAAGGTCGAATACAACCGCTGTACTGTAATGCAGAGTTATGCTGCTCGTGTGTGGACACTGATATGTTATATGTACTATCTGTACCGAGATACCCTGTATATGTATTAGTTTATTAATATTTTTGTTAAGCTGTTTGTCACTCTCTCCCTGAGAATACTCCTTAGGCTGAAGAAGCAGTGGATGGATTTCTCGATACTCATTTTAATTTTAATTAAAATATTATTGTCAGTGTTCACATTGCTGCCAAAATAAGTAGATTTATTGACTTGCTCAGAATTTTATAAGCCAATTGTTTTGGATTTCTTTGGTCGCACATCCTGCTTCAATGTTATATAATTAGGGCTAAGAAGCATTGATTTCCTGACCAGTTCGCAACCTGCTCCAGTGCTTGGAAAGCTGCCTCTCAGCAAAATAGATTTTCCAATTATATCCTGGTCATCTACCTAACCGAGGAGCTGTGTAGACCTATTGAAGATGGTTACATTTTCTTGAACGCCTGAGTCCCGTCTATGTACCATTTTCGAGGTGCAAGTTACACAAGGCATCCACAAATGTTTTATCATGTATTAAGAATTTAAACCTTAACAATTAAAATTAAATTTATTTCATTTTTTTTTTAATTATAATTTAGTGTATTCTGGAGAATTTTAATTTTTTTAAATTAAATATATCAGAGCTTTTTCAGTTTCTGTACTAATGAATTCAAAAATTTACACAACTCTAAATTCTATATACTATTTGGCCCATGCGAATAATTTTCATTTGGTCTTATTGATCAGTGAAATAATGGGAACATAATATAGAAGTAAATAAATATAATTCATTATAAGAGGGGAAAATGTATTTTCTTTTCTTCAATCGATTACAATGATTCATTTGAAAAAAAATATACTAAAAGATTTGTATAAATTACAATTGGCTGTATTCAAATTTCTGTGGCTCTACAGCTCTTGTAGGGCCTTGTCCTCAACAACAATGCCTCTCCTATCGTCCCTATCAGTGGCCGGCTTCTCCATTGTCCAATTCCCATCTTCTGCAAATCTTCGACAATTGGCTGTATATTTGCCTAAAATAATCCGATTTCATTGATTTTTTTTTTCTCTTATTGTTGGAAATTTAGAAATTTTTTAAATTATCATGGCTATAAACCTAGATTATAGAAGCTGTATTGACAGAGTCCTGACCGACCTGGAAAAATGGAAAAAGTCACGGACAAATTTTTAACATTGGGTAATTTTTTTAGTACATAAATATTTTTTTCAAATTGGAAATAAATATACAGTGGATATCGTTTATAATGAAGTGGTAAACTTCATCATTATAAACGATCACAGTTGCTGTATTCATCCATCTTTGACTGACAATAACGTCATTGGTTATATTGATATCGGACATGTGTAATGAATAAAATATAAGCAAAATGGAATTAAAATAATGCTTTTCTGAATAGAAAAACATCCAATACTATTTAATATTTGTAATATATACATTGGGGTCAAGATCTGGCTGGCAAGCATTCCTTCGTTTGACCCATGGTGCTCCTCAAAATGGCATTTATTAACCAGAAATGTCAGAGTTGTTTTCATATGGATAATTATTATGCTGTTTATAGTAATAAAGAAACTAAATTATTACTGAGAAACTACTTTAACATAAGAATCCCGCGTAACTCACTTTATTTTATAATAGAAAAAATAAGACCTTTATATGTCAAGTATCTACTTTTACCTCCTCTCAGTTTATGAAAATAAAATAAAAGCAATAAAAATAAATTACTAAAAATTTAGTTTTTTCTAAAATAAAAAATCCTAAACAAGCTTAAAAAATGTTTCCTATGAAACATTATATTTGTTATTTAAAAGACTGATTTTTTTACTCAAATAATTTTTTAGTCAATTTTCTTTCATGTATAATAAATAAATGTAGTTATAAATTACACATTTTTGATAAATACCCCAGATATATTGGTCGGGGAAAACTATCATTAAACAGGGAAAAGTCAGGAAATTTTAACTGCCTAAGATATAAGGAAATGAATTTTCATTTTTTCCTGAATTCCGGGAGATGTGCATATTTTTTGTATTCAAAGAAACAGATAATCTTTATAGTAATAAATGATAATTCAATCATTGGGTTTGATGAAAAATTAATTAAGATATGGTGTAGCCACAAGAAAAAAAATCTTTGAAAAATAATATTCTATAAATTAGAAGATTGTTCTCTTGTTATACTTATTTGAGATATAGTTTCTGGCTATTATTTCTCTGTGTGAGGAAAAAGCATATTCATAAATTAAACTCCCTCCCTCCCCTCCCCAAAAAATAATAATTTTGATTAGTTTGAACTTGTTTTAAAATCTTATGTGTAGTTTATGTGCATTCTATGTTTATTGTTGTTTATGTAGTGTTGTCTTTTTGTTAATTAAAACTGAGTTTACAGTTTTTGGATGAAAGAAAGAATAGATAATAATAATTTCTAACTATTTATAATGAAAATAATTTTATTTCTTTACTACATTTACCATGACAATATTCTTAATTTTTATCCTTCAATGTTTATTTAAGTTATATTTACTTTGTATATATATATTTTCATATAAATGTTTATAACATATGTATATATAGGTAGATAGGGTTAGTCAAATTCTAATTTCCTAAATGATCCTTGTAACTCATCGGCTGCTTTACTATCGGGCGGTCTCTTCTCCTCGTCCACCCTCAGTGTTTCCTCATAGGCGAACCATGGCTTATATTCCCTTATCATGTTGTAATACTTCTCTGTTAACAAATATAAAAATATAACTATTTTAGATATTTGGTGGTTTTATTATAGAGATAAAAAAAAATTAAATTGAAGCTATGTTACAGACAATTGGCTTTTCCTCAACTTTTTAAAAATGGCAAATGTTCATCTTGATATGAGGCCACTCATCTATATATAAAACATCACCGAAACCTTGATAATCTTGTTATATGAGTTTCATAACATTTATAGTAAATATACCTCTATTATTTCTCCAAGATGACCCATACATCTCAAAACTTTATGATATTCAGTGAAAAAACAGTAATAATTTCCTTTATAAATTGTAACCAACATAAAACTATGCAGGTTTAATTTTTATTGCCTTATAACTGCAGTTGTGTACAACCGGTTTAGAGGACAACATACACCCTTAATGAACCAATCATATTCGGTACAAACCATTTCTTTAATCTTTTTTCAACAATTAAAACCCAAAATCGTCTTAAACTATTCAAAGTGAAAACTGTTCATTCGCAGGGATTTCGATGACTTATTTATTGAAATTGTTTGTATTATCCTATGAAGGAAATATTAAGAATAGGAAAAGAAACACAGAAAAGAAAGATTTTGGGCAAGCATTAAATCAGCTCCCTTAAATTGCATTTTAATTATAGGTTGTGTGAATAAGTTTCCGCCGTAAGTTATCTAGACAATTTTCGTTTACTTAAGTGCATCTGGCAACACTAAGACTTTCTTTATTTAAGAGCCAATTCTCTGTAATGAGGTTATCAGTAAATTTTAAATCCTCAAAGTGTATACAACCTGACCATCTGACCATTTTTTATAAATAAAGTTTTAATTTTTATCAAAAAAAACGGTGGGAACTTATACACATGCCCCATAATAATCCTTGTCTTTAAAATCAATGCATTCAAGCGGAGTCAAAGCAAGAACCTGATTGAAATCGTTCAGGCTATGAAGGTCTTGTTGTTAGATTTCCCATCCTTATTAGCACAGCAACTCTAAATATTAAATGATTTATTATTGCTAACAAACATTTCATTATATTTAATCCTAGATACTCTTCTTCAACAAATACTATTCACCTCCAGCATCCAAGAGGCTTGAAATGACCATATTACCTCAGAAAAAAAATTTAGTCAAAATAATGTGATCCTCCGTGAACAGACAATCTAGTAGGGGAGGAGGGGATTAGGGTAAAGGATGAGTTCTATGGGCTTTTCTCTAACACAATTTTTTTCATTTTTTTTTCTGTTTCTATTATTGTTTTCAATTAATTAATTGAACTCCTACCATAACATTTTCTTCTCGTTATTAATTATTAAAAACTGAAGTTGATTATATTAAAAATATTTACTAAATGATATTTAAAATTATACTCACTACATAATTCTTCTATCGAAGGACCTTTTCCATGATAATCACTTGGAAAGTCTTCAGGGTCGAAATGTTTTTCGAGCCCCTTTGTTTTGTCGTGTGCCACAATCTTAAAAAAAAAATACATTATTTAAATTTTTTATTTATATTTGGACTTTTATTCATTTTACTTATTTAGCAGGATTTTCAACACATTTAATATTTTACTGATCCATCAGTGATAAGATCTGTTGTGTGCTTATTAAAAATTTTAATTGTAATTCTTACCAGTTTCCATACTTCAGCGTTTATAAACGGTCTTAACATGTTAAGAAATGTTTCCAATATCGGTCCGCTGTTCATGAAATGGAAACCTCGAATGGTGCAGCATGAAGCTTCCTATGAAAGAAAAGAATGAAATAAAATTTTTCTTATACAATTTTTTATAATATATTATATACATTGATCATCTGAGAGACTGTAACATATAACTTCCAAGTGATTTTTAATTCATAAAAAGTATTTGATTTATATTATCTTGTATTGATTTTATTGTTTATGCTTATTATTATTAACAAGTTGGCCCATGTGAAAAATTTGCAGAAAATTTTGTTTAGTAAAGAAATAGCAAAACAATATGGAAATAAGTAGTTCCTAGATATTATGTAAGGAAGGAATTAATATTTTTAATATTCCATTAAACATAATAGACCAAAATATTTATACAAATTGCTTTGCTAGGACCTATTTTTAAACGCTGACTGGAAAGATAATAAAAGTAATAAAGACAAAATAATGCCCCGATCATAAGATATTCTAAATTATTAAAAAAACAAAATGTAAGAACAACCAAATGTCTTTAAGAAATAATAAAATTAATATAAAAGTCAGGAAAAAAAAATGTAGTAAACTATTCTACTCCTAAATGAAATATCCTTAAACAGGAAGACATTATTAAGTATACCAAAACTAATGGGCTGTATCTTTGTTAATAATTGTCTGATTTTTACTTTTTTTTTTTGTAGGTAATTTTTCTAATTATCATGGGTACAATCTAGAAAAAAATGCATTATTTTTGAGTTATTCGCAAATAAAGTTTCTTTTCCTCCATAACTTTTTTTTCAGACATTTTGAGGGAATAGGACTATTTTTCGCGTGTGAAGGAGAAGAATATCTTAAAAATGAGTGTTCAATCGTTGGATTTGAGAAAAAATTGACGAAGATATGGCATACCGACAAAAAAACACCTTTTAGGGACATATGTGCTTCACAAAGTTCTCCCAAGCATCTCAATCTCTAGTAAGCTCCTTGACTCCAGAACAGTTCTGTTAGACACTGCACAGAATCTCCTTCTCCAGAGGTCGCCTACAGGTTTCTCTAGGCCACCAGAGTTTTCACTGTGTTTTAGTGTTCCACTCTAGACTCTTGAGGAGTGATATAATTTTTTCTTCTTTCTAAGTATGTCCCACAGTTGTCTTCAACTTGATCAATCAAGGCCTTATTAGCTCGCTCACGTCCAGAGTTCGGTATTAAAGATTGATTCAAGCCACCATACTCTCAATATGTTCCGCAGAAATCTATTAACGATTGTCTTTAGCTTCTGAATAACCTGCTTGATGACTTTCCAAGTTTCGCATGCATTTAGCAAAATCGACACAACAATACTATTAAAAATGCAGAACTTGTTCTCTCTCTGGATTTCTTATGATTTCCACATTATCCAGTTGCTTTGAAAATGTTGGTTGTGCAATCTTCCACCCTTCCTCCCCCCATCCATCCTGGTTCACTATACTCCCAAGGTAGAAGAACTTGCTAACGCTTTCAATCATTTGATCTTATATAAGATTTTTCTGTATCCTGCTGTTCAGTCGCATCTCTTTCTTTCAGGAAAGAGCATTTCATTTTGAGTGCATCACTTTGAGCTTCCTTTTAGTGTTCATTCAGCTTCTTCTGCATATCACTCAAACTTCAAGTCTCTCAGTACAGGCGGATCTACATGGGAGGGGAGGACTTTCGGGCTGAACTACCCCTCCCCCCAAATGGTAAAATATAACCATGTCTTATGAAAAATTAAAAAATATTATCTCAAAAATTATTATTGTTCTTGTAATTACATTTAATAGGATCTCAAGAATCACTTTAAACGTCATTTCATGTAGGTATTTAGTTTCTTTCTTTTTCGTTCAAAGTAATTATCGTTATAAGTATAAAAAAAAAAAAATGCTTTCAGGCTGAAGCCCCCAAAATTACATCTTGGATCCGCTAATATCTTTCAGTGAACCTCCACTTTTTAATGTTTATTGAATTGATTTCTTGGTATGTCTCTGTTATGATTTGTGAATTTTTCACATTATTTTTATATAATTGTTACTGGTTTGTCAGTATTTTTAAGTATGTGTATGTATAATCAAACAGAAAATATTGACTGCACCTGAGCATATTTAAGAGCTGTGGCATACAGAGTCAATGGGTTACGTAAGATATGTCCTAAGGTGACATTGGCCATATCAATGATAAATATGTATCCATCTGGATTAGGTCCTGCGAGTAATTGGCTGAGGTCCTGTACCATGTACCCAATTCTAAGGACCAGTTCTACATCGTACAAGGACGCTTCCATCGGTAATACCCTGTACACGAATATTGCTGGGTGTCCCTTCCTCTGAGGTAGTACGCCGAATTGTCTGAAACCAATATTTCATTATTAATTTATTTACTTCAGTTGAAATTGAATAAAATATCAATCTTGAGCGTGTTTAGCTATTATACTTCTACTTTTTACTCTCAATTATGTTATCTGATACTATCAAGTATTAGTTTTAAACAAAATAAAAGCTTGAATATTGAACGTTCAATTGGATAAAAGTAATGAGTAACATTTTGTTGAAAAAATTGTATTCATTCTAAGGAAGATTTGTACAGAGGTACTAAGAAGGGAGTTGTATTGCTCAAGTTGTGCCATTAAAATGTTTGAGGAGAGCACATTTTTAACAGGACCATGAATTTTCTGAAAGGAACTATATTTTTATTGGGATTAATTTGGAACAAGGAAAAAACATAGAACAGACACACCAAGTTTAACTGTATATGAAATATAATAGGGTGTATAATTTTAATCCCATTTAAATACTTACCAATACTTAATAATCCTCCCAAAAAAGCCTCCGTTTAGTTATTTGTCTCAAATAAAAAACATGACAGTGTCCTGCGAAATTCTCGTACATTTAAGACATTTTCTACATACTTGGATCGAAATGCCAGCAAACTTAATCAACAACACAAATGATTGTATATCAAGATTATTTGTTATCCTTATGAATAATTGCCAGCCATAGCTGGAATCGAACACAGGACCTGTGGAATAGGAGCAGAGTGCATTGTTTATGTATAAAGGGACCTATTGATATACTCACATAGTATCTCTGATGGTGTCCAAACTAGGATGGTCTATGTCCCTTTCCTTCCACATCCTCGGATTCTTGGTTCTCAGTGTGTAATTCATATCGATTGTTTTCTTACTCGCTTCTATAGAGAAATTGCAAGCAGCGAGGAATACCAGCAACTGTTCGTCTGGGAATAAAAATATTAATATAATGTTAGGTGATATATAGTTAAGACGCAATCAATTTTTAAGTTTCTTATTTCTAACACTTAAACCCAAGCTTATAGGTTCTCATTAAGACCTAATTATTAATATTTATAACATCAGAGACATTTTTTTTTTTAATTTCTTAATGTCATTTACAACTGTATTAAATAAATACATATAGTAGATTTGAACATAATGGATATAATGACATGAAAACACTTGCTGAGTAACTACCCAATGGTAGCACTCTAATGATATGTCTACATTAGGAGATCACGGGGCCATCTTCTTTTCAGACGCCTCAGAGGGTTATCAGGAATTGAAGAGGAAGCAAGGTTAGAGACAAGAGGGTTGGGATGATTCTGAAGTTTATTATGGAAGGATAGCGATCTGGATTGGGCCAGATCTGAAACATTAAGGTCATTATGGATGGTTTTATTTGTAACAAAGTAGGGAGCATTGAGAATTTTATGAAGGATTTTGGATTGTAAGGATTGGATACGAGAGGAATTCGATGGTTTAGTGGAGCCCCAAAGCTCAACTCCGTAAGTCCAGATAGGCCTTATTATAGTCAAGTATATGGGTCTTTTGTAATTAATTGGAAGTTTAGAGCGTTCGTCTAGTAAGTGCTGAAGTAATCGGAAACGTCGAGCGGTTTCTTGTCGTTTCAGAGACATATTTAAAATATTATATTACAGATAATAGTAAATAATGATAGGTAGTGATGTGTGAGTAATAATAACTAATGTATAATGATGTGTATACATGATGAGATAAGCTATGAAGTGGAATACAGAAATGTTACAAAAATATAAAATAATATACTGAATAGATATAACAAATGTAATATTTAATATTACTAACCATGTTACCAGCGCTGAAGGTGTTCAAATACTTGTACCAAGCTAGGTAGGTAAGAGGGTTGAGGGAGGATTTTAATTACTGCATATAATATTACATTTATTAAATCTATTAGGTATATTATTTTATAGTTTTTATAACTTATTATGTATTCCATTTTATAGCCTATCTCATCATGTATACATATTGTTTTACATTAGTTATTATTTTATTATTATTACTGATACATCAATATCTATCATTATTAACTATTATGTGTTATCTTATATTTTATTATCTCTGATCTTTTAATTTTTTCACCCATGATGACCCAAGCTAAAGCTTGGGTTGTAACATTGGCAATAAAAAACTTAAAAATTTACTGCGTTCTGAATATTTATCACCCATGTTACGTCGACAGTCGACAAACATCCTTCAATTATTATCATAATGATGTTATAAATAATTATATTATTAATCAATTAAAACAATTACTACCTGATATAGTAGGCAGATGTGGTTGCTTTTCTAGCCACGTTCTCAATGCTTGGATATCCTCTTTCTTGTAGCGTTTGTCTTTGTCTATCAGATCTTCTGCCTTGACAGACCACCATTTCTTATCAGAAGTTTCTGATGCTGGCATATTCTAAGCTTATCTGAAACCAAATTTATAAGATCTCCAAAAGAAACTGTGCACTTTTATAATTAAATTTCTTTTTAATAAAGTTTTACAATAAAAGCTCTTCTATGAACTCTCTGGTTAGGGCTTTTTTATAAATGTTTTTAGTGATATTATTTGAGATGTGCGTGCCCCTAATATGTGATAAATACTTAATCTATTACGGTTTTGATCAGTTAGAATTATTATTGAACGAAGTACCCTTTTGTTATATCGTAAGGGTAAACTTTGCTCCGACTGATCATAATAGGTTGGCAAATAAGTCCTTTCGGTTTTTCTATTTATTTTTATGTCACTATGATACATTTTTTATCTGATGAATTAATCCCAAAGGCGTATTGTTTATTCTGTTTGTAATTTGTCAACTACTATATCTGTTAAATCTTTTTTGAAACTAGTTTATGATTGTGTTTGCTATTGCACTGTAAATAGGGAAGAAAATATCATTCATTATTGGTTTATTTTGAACGCACCTGACAAAATTGTATTGCCAAATTTCATTCAGGAAATTTTGACATAAATGATACTCAACGGTCTGGTCGTCCATATGAAATTGAAACAAGCAATGTTAAGGCCATTGTTGATCGAAATCCTACCCAATCAGTGCGAGAGACTGCTTTGGTCCTAAAGGTGTCTCACACAAGCATAGAAAACCATTTGCACAAGCTCGGCTATGTTTCCAGGCTCAATGTTTAGGTCCCTCACTCTCTAACCGAAGTCAACTTGGCAACGCGCATTTCTGTTTGTGATTCACTACGGCAACAAAACGACCCATTTTTGAAAATGTTAGTAACAGGAGATGAAAAGTGGATATTTTATGATAACGTAGTCCGTAGAAAATATTGGGGGCCTAGTAGAACTCTAGAAAAATGTCAAAAACCCTGATTGCATCCAAAGAAGATAATGCTTTCCATATGGTGGGATTTCAAGGGTATTATTTTCTATGAGCTATTGCCATCATGACAAACAATTGTTTCAACTATGTACTGCTCACAATTAACAAAATTGGATCAATCAATTAAATATAAACTCCCAGAACTGGCAAATCGGGTGGGTGTTGTGTTTCACCAAGACAACGCTAGGCCCCACACCTCATTGGTCACTCGCTATAAATTAATGAGCCTTAGATGGGACCGCTTGCCCCACCCTCCCTATTCACCAGACCTAGCTCCAAGTGACTACCACTTATTCCGGTCTCTGCGGAACTCCATGAATGAAAAGAAATTCCAAAAGGAAGAAGACATCAAAAACCACTTGGATCAGTTGTTTTAACAATAAACTCCAGGTATTATGTAGTTAGAGGAAAGATGGGAAAAATTTATATTAAATAATATTCAATATATTTTTGATTAAAATAAATTTTATGTCTATAGTACATTGAGTTTTATTTCATTCTGAAAAACCGAAAGGACTTATTTGCCAACCCAATACTAAGTCAGTATCATACTCTAAAAATGAAACAATAGATTTATGATAACTAAAATATGTGATGATCGTATATCCTCATTTAGTGTGATTGTTCATATTTAATATGCAATTCGTTATGATTTGTCTATATTTTCCCTTTTTGCCTCTCTAATATGGCGTCACGTCAATATATAATTTCGAATAATAGCTTATTACAGAGAGAATGAAATGCTGAACATTCCCCTCGCTTACAGTATGCAGGTCCGATTTTTAGTTTCTGAGATATCTTAATCTAAATGCAAAAACACTTTTATTAGTCGACTCAAGCCGACTTTACTCGAATGAGCGTTACACATCCGAGACCGACGGCTCAGTTTCATTCATTCTCCACAAAAGTTCAAAAAACGCCTAAAGAAATTTTTACTTCAAAAATAATGTGTCATCTCAAAATTTGTTTCATTCGCTTGTTTCACCATTATGTCACCATTCGGTATTTGATTAATCTACCATGTGAATACTAGTGCCGACTAGTTGAGACTTCAACTCCCGATTTTACTTGTTGGTTTTAATGTTTATTAGCTTATTTTTCTTCTATATCAACACTGTTTGGTTACCAACCTTAATGTGGCAAACATAAATTTTATGCTCAATGATTGGGACCGGTATTAATTATATAAAATTCCATCTACTACTTTTGGTTACGCATGCGCAAATGTATTTTCCTGGCACTGCTGTAAAGCGTACAATACGAAAACTGCTCGTTGTATAGATTTTATTCTCAAATGACAAATTATTGATCATTAAATTTAGTTAATTGTGTTGGTTCTTAAAAGCAACTAATAGAATATTGAGAAACTCGCTAAGATTGATAAGAGAAGCAGAGAAAATCGGCCTACAAGTAAATGAAGATAAAACAACTTATATGATAACAAGCCGAAAATAACAGAATATACGCAGAAAGAAAATCATTCTTGAGAGTACACAAATTCAAATACCTCAACGATTACCCAAATTAATGACCAACGAGCAGGAATAGACCAGCGCATAACTAGCACAAACAGAGCTTCTTCTCTCTTTCAAATCTATTTAAATCCCGATAAATCTCAAGAAATATTAAACTAAGGCTTTAGAATGCTATGATAAAGCCATTTCTAGTGTATGGCTGTGAGACCTGGACACTGGACCTAGAAAAGAGTGTTAAAAGATTTGAGAGGAAAACCTTCCGCACGATAACCGAAACGGCCAGGAATCAAAGTACTAACACATGGAGAAGAAAGACCAATAAAGAACTGCTTACAGAAACTGGTCAATCAATATCTCATGATATGAAGGCACGGAGGTTAAGATGGGCATGTAGCTCGTAGCAATCCATTTGGAAGCCTCTACTTAACAATGAATGCCTCAATAGAAGGCAAAAGACCACGTGGAAGGCCAAAAAGCAGTTGGATAGATAGAATCATTAAAGATGCAACAGATCTGCGTGCAGATAAATGGAAAAAAATAGCCCAAGACAGGCAGAGGTGGAGCAGGCTTGTTAAGGCGGCAAAAGATCTACATGGTCTGTAATACCATCAGGAAAAAATGTATCCGATTGGAATAGTGAGCAGTTTTTTCTAAATTATTATTCATCTAAATATATCGGAACTGCAAAGAAAAAAATGCCTTCAAAAACCTTGAGGTCTGTTGCACGCGCAATTCATACAGGAAAACCAAGTTTAATTATTTCTGCCTGTACACGCAAGCGGATGCAATTTGGGCTTCGGGCGTGTTATTAGATAATATTAGACATCTATTTTTTAAAAATATATATATATATATATATATATATATATATATATATATATATATTAATAAATATTTTATATAAGTGAAATTGATACACTTAGTAGAAAAATAGAAAAAAAAAACTAAAAAGTGCTTTAGACCACACGATAAAAGTGAAAACAGCAACAATGCTAGATTATTAATATGAAATATAAATATAAATAGCTCAAAAATATTTAGCCAAATTTTTCAGTTTCGCCATTGATATTACTGATGATAGGAGTAAGTGGGGCACCACTTTTATGTAACTTAACTAATCCATGTATTCCAGGTGTATTGTAGTTAGGCTTAATTAGTTAATTTCGTTTAATAAGAAATTATTAAAGTTAATAACAAAGTTTATTACATAAAATTTGTTTTCCTTAAAAGCCAATTTCCTTCTACTCCTCTGTTAAAAATTTAGGATTTTTCATAGATCAAACTCTCTCCTGGACCTACCATATTTCTCACATTTCCCGTCGGACAATTTCTACCCTTAAACTATTTCATCGCTTCCGCCATCTCCTACCTCAACATATCCGTAGACTCCTAATTTCCTCTCTCATCTTCCCCCACTTTGACTACAGCTGTGTGGTGTATGATGGCCTCTCGGTGGAGCTCCGTGACAGACTGAAAAGATTAATGAATAGCTGCGTAAAATTTGTTATTGGTGCCCCGAGGTACTCCCATGTCTCTCACCACTACACTGAGTTAAGGTCGCTCTTCCCCTCCTTCCGAAGACAATATTTTCTAGGTACGTTCCTCTACCAAATCATCAACAACCATCGTCCTTCTTACGCCTACAACCTTCTCCAGTTCAAATCTTCAGTCCATTCCCTGTCCACAAGATCTCGACCTTCTGACCTTTACATGCCTTCTCACAGATCTGCCTCATTCCAAAATTCCTTTATTGTTCGCTCTGTCAATTTCTGGAATTCCCTCCCTATCAAAATTCGACATTCCCCCTCCATATCCACATTCAAATCCCTCCTATTCCAATTCCTATCACAAAAACAGTCAGATACTGGCTAACCATTCGAGCGGATTTTAATAGAGAATTTGATACATTTTTATTTTTTAATTCTTTATTTTTTTCGGAAAAGTGTATACTGGTCTATAAGAGCAAATAGCTTTAAGTGTCTTGTCATAGTATTAATGGTTTTGTATATAGTTTAGTTTGTTTTGTATATAGAATTTTTACCTTATATTTTTTTTACATTATTTCTTTTTTTCAATTGATTTTATTTTGGCCAGATGTAATATTTTAATTTTGTTCTATTTTGTTATTCTCAAGGGACTGTGTCCCAGAATAAAGTTATTTTTCTATCTATCTTAAAATATAGACACCAAAGTCAATCTAAAATGTCCTTAATGAATTGAATAATAGCTCATTACAAAGAAGATGAAACGCTTAACATTTCCTTCTTTTACAGTATACAGATCCGATTTTTATTATCTGAAATATTTTAATCCATATATTCAAGTAACTTCGTTATCATTTGGTTTTTGACACTATTTTTTCCTTTTCGCCTCCCTAACACGGCATCGCGTTAAGATACAATTTTGAATCGTAGCTTATTACAGAGAGGTTAAATACTGAACAATTCCCTCGCTTACAATACGCAGATCCGATTTTTATTTTCTGAGATATTTTAAACCATATGTAAAAACATTTCAGTTAGCCGACTTTACCCGAGCTTTAAAAAAGGATAAACGGTATTAGGTGATATGCCCGTTGCATCGATTTTTCTGCAGACAGACAGACAC